TTACACAGCATTATTAATATGATTTTGGAGGTTACAGAACTTTAAAATTACTTTAAAAAATGGAAAATAATTATATCATTTGATTTCAAGATATTTTGTATACCTTAAAAATAATTAATTCTATCCCGGGATTTCCCGGGATCCCGGGAAACAGTTCACTTTTATCCCGGGATCCCGGGACAAGCAAAAGACCGGGAAATGAGAAACCCTAGTGCGAACATAGTATTAGGGTACGTCATGGAAACGCACACTAAGAAGGGATTTTTCGAAATCCCCCGCGGGGGGAGAAGATTAAGGCTTAACCGGAAGGACGGCTTTTAAAACTGATTTCATACTTTTCCTTAAATTGATAACATTTCAGACATTGTTATAAATATTTTCATATATTTCGATTTTTTAACCAAATGTTCGAACCGTTTTAAATTCGAGTTTGTTATTGCATATTGGTTCGATTATAGAACGATTGTACTGTAAATGTTCCAGAAAATTGATCAAATTGTAAACAGTTCGTTTGATTCTCAGCAATTCTCATTATTCTCAGCGGTAGCTGTTATATAACAATTACTGTACTATGCAAGCAAACCCCATTTACAATGGGGTTTGCTTGCATTGTAAATGGGGTTTGCTTGCAAAACCTCCGCGGGCTAAGTTGCGGGTAACAGTTAGTAATCTACAATAAGAAGAACGCAATTTAATTAATCGAATTTAAAAATTAGAAAATCGTAGCATTATATGTAATAGCGTGTTATATCTTGCATCATACAGTATCTCATAGCATGTTATATCTAATTTTTATCATCATATTTTAATTCTAAATCTCGCAAATAATAAATATGGTATTAATACAATTTCCTAAATTGGAAAATTATTAATAAAAACATATTATTAAATTATCTTGCAACATCTTTATAATTACATAATATTTTTCATTGAAATTTTAAAAGCTTGGTTTCCATATTACCAGAAAATATTCCAGAAACAGATGTGATATCGCTTCTTGTCTAGAAATTTCGGATTGAACGGACTCCAGAGGAAAAGAGAGTTCTGCTTCCCTGTTACGTCGTACATTCCGTTTTTACACTTAACTAATTGGAGAATGTTTTAGTGACGTAATTTTTCTAATTGCTTGCAGCACTATGCGATAACTTAAAATTTTCAAATTAAATGGCAGAAGGAGAAAATAAAAGAAATCGTTTATGAGTGATTTTTAATTTTGCCTCGATAAGTGACAAATTTCATATTGATAAGGCATGTAACATTGCCAAAGTACTGTACATCATCCATTTTGGCTTATTTTCGTTATTGTAGGCTGATTATATTTTCTTGATTCCAAAACGGGACGAGGTTTAGGTGCCCTCTCTTATTAAAATTCCATAGAGAAATGAGTATTAAAAATTTATTAGTACATTATTATTGATATTGATTTTATGACGTAAAATAATATATAAATTTTGTTTTCGAAAATCTAATATTGTAACTAAACATTTTTATTTTTATTACAACTTGATACCAACCATATTGTAAGTCCCTACTCTACTTTATAATTAGCATTGCTTTCATGGTTTCAATATTTCATCTCGACTTCTCTTTACACAATAGGAAATTCAGGAGTGAAAATGTTCTATCTACAGAAGCTGCAGTTCCTGATAAGAAAGGACTAATTCTATCAAATTATTAAAATCTTGGAATTCGAAATCCTTTTCGTGTATTTCATTAAATATTTCAATCCATCTGTCAATTTTTTCTTCATTTCCATTCTCCAAGTGTTTGATTATTATTGTCTTTATTAATGCTCATTGATCGAAGAATCGAATGTCATCTGTTTCTGTTCGTATATGCTCGTTAAAGTCTCTGAAACTATTCTGTATTTCTTGCTTTTCAGACATCTCTCGTTCAAATTTATGATCCTTAATGCAGACTGAATATTTTCTAACAAATCACGAGTTCGAAATACAATATATAAATGTATTTAATATACAAATAAAAATCTAAATTTTTGATTTTCAAAAACGGGACAAAAGTGAAAATTTAACTAAAACGGCGGGACGGCTGGGCAGAACAGAAAAAGAAAAAAGGTACATACAGTCGATCCCCCTATAAGATCATTGATTTTTCCGTTTTATCTGAATTACATGTTGTACGAGTCACTTAGATTTTACAAATACGTGTGCCGGGCTGTGAACGGCTCACATATTTGTAAAATCTAAGTGACTCGTACAACATGTAATTCAGATAAAACGGAAAAATCAATGATCTTATAGGGGGATCGACTGTATGTTATTGGCCACGAGAAGTCGATGAGAAATTTTCTTTGACCAGTTTCTGGTGCAATGGATATAACTTAAAACAGAAACAGAATAAGAACGAAAGTACACTTGTTTCGATTACAGTAGAGCGTCGTTTATCCGAATCAATTGGGGACTGGGGTGGTTCGGATAACTTATTTTTCGGATAACGAATCATGTACGAAAAAATATATTAATTTATCCCATGTTGAAATTTCTCTCCGTTGCGTGTCGCTTCGCGTTGAATTTTCGTCGATGTTAAGCCTAACGAAGACTATTGTATCGTTAAAAATTATTTTTTTATTTTGTACAAACAAAATAAATTTATTGAAAAATATAAAAACAATAAAAAATTATACTTCAGATGTTAATTTAGTATCAAAAACGTAAAATATTTGAGTAGCCCGAGAAATAGCCGAAGATTGCAGCGCCACAGCACTAGCGAAAATTTAAATTTACCGACTGGAATGCTTTCGGATAACGGACGTTTCGGATAACCAGCTTTCGGATAAACGACGCTCTACTGTATTTTATTTCTGGTATGTTTTCTGGTTGCTGGTGATGTGGAAACGAAGCATTGCAATATTAAAATTTTTACTTTATTTATTTTATATTATTCCTAAACGTTCTGTCTTGTAAAAGATTTATGAGAATTTTAACATTTTATTATCTAGATATTAATTAGTGGGGCATTTTAATTGAAAAAAATCAAGTACTTGTAATACTGTATAGAATTTCTAAAAAAATAAAAATATTGATTAAACACATTTTGCCTTTTCCCTAATGAATAATGCAAAATACAACTGGGCAATTTCATTATCTATTAAGAACGCATTATATATTCAATACATTAACAAGTACTGTATAATTGTCTGGTTTCAGTTTTTCTATTTCAAATGGAATTCTCTAAATGAAATTATCTACAAGAATTTGTCATAAAATTTCCTTTTTAAATATCTTCGTTTGGATATAAATGCAATAAATGAAAATACGATAGATACAAAAACAGAAGGAAAAACGATAAATCACTTCTAAAAATTTTAGACTTTATAGATAAACTGTAAAACCGAATGCATAATGCCTTACTTAATATAATAGGCCTAATCTATATTCATCTTTTTGGATCTATTGAGTGAAATTTATACGAAATCTAAACTAAAATTATCTCCAAACTATATCATTTAAAAAAAAAATAATTAAAAATGAACAAATAGACTTAATGTACTAACTTTATAATATTCTATAAAATAAAATTTGTGGATTAAATTCGCGAAATTTCCGACATGCAGTTTTCTTACGATAGACAATTATTGTAGAGATATTCAAAAATTCCATAATAGTTCTATATTCTAAAAAGAGAAAGACAACTTCTGTTTTAAAATATGGAAATATATCCTTATTTACATTTTATCAATAAAGAAATAACTAGGCGAATGTCTCGCCATTCGGTCGTTTCCTTTGATTTAATACGACTTCAACCTTGAACTTATGTCTAGACGAGTCTGGCATTCTGACAGAAACGACTAAAACTCCGCTTGCAGTTTGATCAATGCGAATTTATTTCGTGCAATTGATCAACAATTTATAGAAGGACGCTTTTCTGGCTTAAAATACAACTTTTTAATCTTTTTCAAAGAAAAACAATGTTCACCTGTTTGCGTCCCTTGTGATAAGAGGAATGTTACAAGCACAGAACTCGGTTCAAGTTGATCCTTGTTGGTCCCACCTACAAAACAAAAAGGGTTACTAAATCTACGGGACAACACAGGGGTTAAAAACAAAACAATCAAAAAATATAAAAATGTGCTGAAATTAAAAAGTAAGTAACGTAATATTTATAAAGACATTCAAAAATTAATAATAAAAATAAATAAAGTTTAAACTATTCTTCGTAGCGATGCGATTTATTTTTATTACTTCTTCGAGCATTGACACGAATTAGGAAACTGCATAGGCATTAACTAAATGGAAACAGATAAAGGAAATGGCTAAGCATGCGCACTTTTTCTCTTGAAATATTGATAAAAGGAAATATAATAAGTAAATTGCTTAATCAAGACTAGAAGAGAAAGTGTGTAAATGCAAATTTTATGAATCAATTGATCGACTCAATTGACGGTTGCGAAATATAAGACTAGATAGACAACTGAAATTTATTTAGATATAAAAACTTAAGGAACCGTTTCCTTTGAGGAAGACTTCATTAACAATTTTAAGGGCATTCTATCGATTTTTCTTTTCGTTAATGTAATTCTTTTTTCTTCTCCTAACATTTTTCCCCCCAATAGAAAGACTTTGATGATTACTCTGATGAGAATTCCGTCTATCGGATTTCAATGAAAATGAAAGGGGAAACTTACCGTGCGAGGGTCTGAAATGAAATTAATTTCAGAAGTAGCAAATTCGATCGACGACTTTATATACAGGATCATAAAATCCATATTCAATTCTTTAGAATATTCAAGTTTTATCAATTTTTATAAACAGATCTTAAATCCAATAAATAATAATTTAATTCATTTTATTTTTATTTTAAAAGCTTTTCGCTGCATTATTATTCATCTATTCAACTTTTCCCAATTTTATTATTAATAGTTGAATGTAATGATGGAATTCATACGAATGAACCATTCAAATGTATAAAATTTCTTTTTTTCACATAAATTCTTACGATTTCTCTCTCGTATGTTTAACGTTAAAATTATGTTGCAATAATTTTACATTTTTCAAATTAATTGGGAAAATGTTTGCAAACAATTTTTAAAATTCCATTAATTAATAATAATATAATACTTTAAATACATAATCCGTTCTTTATAAAATATCCAATTGCTTTTAATATTATTTTAATTTATGAAATAATTAAATAATCGAAAAAACTGAAACTGTTTTCAACTGTCTGCGACGAAAACTAATCAAGGCAGCTAATTTAAATAACTCGTTTAATTACTTATTGTTTTCATTGCATGTAATAGGAAACTACCAGACAATCGAGCGCAGTATTTCCAAACAGGTGCAAAGTTGCCTATTACTTGCAAAAATAAATTTTTCAAGGGTAAAAATAACTTTTGGTGAAAAATTTTGATTAGTTAAGAAATTCTTGTAATGTTTTCGGCAATTTTTTTTACTTTAAAGTTGAAACGTACAAATAAGGAACGTGCGAATTCATCACTAGTTGAACGTTTAAATAAGATCAACATGTTTAAATCATCACGTGTGAATTTGAACTATTGAAAAACTAGTATTTCCCAGAAGAAGAATGGAGTCGATGTGCCGGATCTTGAATATGTATTACTCCGCCGCCTTAGCTAAACTTCAAAAATTTAATAATCCCATTATACGACATCGTGTAACTTTTTTTGTTTTATATAATATCAAATTTCTTGAAAATATGCCAAGAATCTCAAATAGGTTATAACGGTTTAAGCATATCTTTTAATTTTCTATATGTAGGCCTATTATGTTCTATTTCGTAACGAACTCGGAAATATTTCCTTCGTATATGTAGACGAATGAACATTGGGTCCATTCTCATTCTGGAAAATACTGTAATAATTCAAACGTTTAATTATTCGAACATTCAAATTGTGACAATTTCGTTATTATATTATGTTTTTTATAGAATATTTTAACTCGATCGATTGATTTTTATGTATCGTTCTAATTCAAAATATTTGAAAATTTTGATAAACGTATTTAATCCACTGAGAAATTAAATTGGCGTACGTCATATTTGCTACGAGCATAATTAATTTTTATAAATCGTTAATTATTTTTGACAACAGTCAACGCCTATCACGCTAAATTTTATATTTTTAAAAAAAACTATTTGAAATAGAGTAAGACAGGCACGAATAATTGACATTTAAACATTTCTTTAAACTAAATACATCATGTTTCAGTTTAGTAATATAGCACATGAAATACAATTTCACATTTAAATTTCATAGAAAATATATTTCAAAGCGGACTAATTGTCTGAATAGACAAACTCGCTAATGGCGCAATTTATTACTTATATTAGAAGACAAACAATATAAAATAAAAGGACTAGACAGACATTGGCAAGAGATTGTTCTGCCACGTAAGCCATAATACTGTATCGATATTAAACGTTCGGGACTGTACTAGGTCATTTACCATAATAAACTTGTCTTTTCGCAATTACTATGAAGTACATTTTCAAAGATGACCTTGCGATATTATTTCTAGTCCTCCAAATTATCAGTAATTTTAAAATAAATAGATCATTTTTTCCTCCTTCTTTTAATCCGTCCTATTTCAATAAGCATAAATAAGCACTTAAAATTAAAAAAAAATTAAAAAAAATTAAGACTTCGACACATTTGGGTTTAAAAACAGATTAATTTATAAAATCTATAATTAAAAATACAGAATATAAATTGCAAAATGCGATGTTATCCAACGATTTCTGTTCTGCATTTTCTGAATCTTTCTATTCTCGTTAATTAATTTATGGCGTTAGTTTTAAGTTAATCTAGTATTGTAAAAATTTCAATAGAAATTAGAAAATTTAGGCCGAAATATGTTTTTTCCCCTTAAAATTATTACACTCGAAGACCAAATAAAATATGAAAAACCTTTTAATGTTAACTGTGTTCCTTCAAATTTATTTATAATTGATTTTCAATTGTAACACTTTTTACGAAATAACCTGCTCTTTTTGTCAGGACAGGATATAAACTCATAAACGAAGACAGCAAAACATTTTTTTTAATTCTTAATTAATCAAAATTTAATCTGCCGAAATTTTGACTATAAATCATTCTTAAAATTATAGTTTTGCACATAACTTTTAGAAATCGCTATTTAAAAACAATAAGAAATAATATTTGAAAAAGAACTAAAGTTTAGTGTGTCGGGCGAGAATATTATTTGATATAGGCCCAGTAATAAAAAGTGTGCTTATTTGAGAAACTTGCCATCTGTTAATTAACTGACAATAAAGTTTTGATTTTCAAATAAAATTTGTTGTCAGTAAATAATTATTAAGGAAATGGAAGATAAACTAAAAGAAATAATGTGAAGTAAAGTAAAATATAATATATATTATTGATAGTGATATAATTGAGAAATTGTATCCCTTATATTTTCTATTAAAAATGGTATAAACTATTCAAAAAATTATTTCAGTACATTACTTAATTTCTCCATTTATAAAAGCTCTGTCTTCTAGTGTATTTACTTTTTTGTTTCAGGATAAAAATCTATTTTTATATCACTAAGACATTTATAGTCATATCGTTCATTAAACTAGATTTATAAGTGTTCAAAATGATTCTAATAATTATATTTACTTTGATATAAATCATACAAGTCAATAAAATACAAGTTATTTTCAGTACCGGTACTTTAGATATTGTTCATAATTAGAAAATCTAAATTAAATAAAAAGAAAGGATTTCGTTATAGTAAATATATCAGCAGAAAATCTATTAGATATCGGCGAATGTTTAATTAGATAGTCAATGCAAATGTTTAGAAATTCGCGAATTATCCAATAGTATTTTATTTTACAGAATTTTACTAATCATCTGAAGGGAAAAATAAGTCATTTTTCAAGTTCACCGAATTTATTTAATTACCGCGATAGAAAAGTCACAAAAATTCGCAATATCGTAATTTATATTCATTCAATTCTGCCATGTAGCGTATTACAGTACGCCGTACGATGCAGTCTTTTAAGGGCTGATTCTCGCTGCACGGGATAGATAAAACATTAAGGGAAAACAGGTTCTGTTGCTATAGTAACATCGCTGTTAGCCTGTTCGTTATACTTGAAGTTCTTTTGGTCGAAAAGTTCATTTAGTTGAATTTTCTTCCATTCTCTTATTTCGTGTAACCTATCAACTAATCGATCGAGATGGCAAAATTACGTTCGTTTCCTTTGATAATTATTAATAATCTTTTATAATATTTTCGTTAAAAAAAATGCAAATATTGCATTGCGTGTATTATAAATTTACAAACCCGTTATTCTAAATAAAATTTATTAATTTCATCGAAAAATTAACGCGTGAGACTACGTATGATCCTAACAAATTTTTGCTTTTTACGTTACTTCGCATCATCACTTCACTTTCAGTTCTTATTAATATCATAACTATAAACAGTTGAAAAGAATAAGCAACGCGTTTTCCGTTTCACACAGCAAACGCATTGCTATTAAAACGTACAAACTTCCGATTGATTGCTAGACTATTTTTAAAAACGATTTTCATTAGTTAAATTGGTTAAAGTTCTAAGAAAATGGTTTTCATTAAGTTTAAATATCAGCATTATTATATTTTCTAGTTAAAATTCATTACGACGAAAAGTAGCCTTTAAAATACTTTAATATACAGTAACATTAAGTTTGATTTCGATTATTCGCAATAGAAATTATGAGTGAATTTTGTATTAACTTAAAAACTTGAAATTATTACAATAATACGCAGCGAATACTACCTTATAATAAACGAGTTAGTAAATAACCCGTTAGGACTTCATATTGCCATTCTCAGATATACTGATAAACTGATTTAGATGGAATCCGGAATTACTCGGACTTGATTCTAAATTCTCTCTTCCTATTGGATTGGATAGGGTTGGAATTGTTTCCGTGAGGCACTAGCTTACGACAGGTTTCAATTTTACCTTATCTTTAATCCACAACCGCCGTGGGGTCGTCCAATATGAGTGAGAGGGAAAAACGCCCCGACCCGGAACTACCCACGAAAATTCACAGGATCCGGATCGGATTCGAATCCGGATTCCTCGGGGTAATAGGTGAATACACTCGCAAGATATCTAACCAATTTCTTGTAGTGGACGACAATTGCCTCCCCATCGATCATTTTCCCTATCGTAGAAATGATCTATACATAATTTATTAACAATTTTTGTTATATAGATAAATAGATAAGCAATAAAGTTTAAAGAATAAAAATATAAATAGTAATAAAAAGGAAATTATATCGTATTTGCTGCATACTCTGTCACTGTAATTTAACTTGCGATACGGTTAAAATATGTTAACTTACGTCAATTTAAATATTTAAAAATTATATATTCTACTTAGATGCTCTGTAAATATATTGCTTGAGATGATAAATTTGCATGATTAACTACGTTGAATAAAATAAGCAGCTATCTTCCTAAATCATTATGATTTGCAAATACATTTGTTAATAAACGGTTGAAAATAATAAAAGTTTGACTAATTAGAAAAATTATAATATTGATTACTTAATCACTTAATTAATCATTGTTCAAGCTTTATTATATTTTCAGTTGCAAGTTCGTTATTGCAAGTAGTGTTCAGAATTCTAGTACTAAAAACGTTTTGAATTCGTTACTTTTTATGAAAAGTAATGTGTAACTACATTATTTCTATTTAAAACATAGGCCTAAATCTATTAATTTCGTAGGCTAATCCATGCTTATACCTGAATTTCGTGCTTAATGCGTGATAAAAATTTGAGGAAACATATAAATAAAAAAGATTAAAATTTAAAAAATGATGAATTAGAGGGAAATATGTATTGTTAAATTGAAAAAAATATAATGCTGTTATAATACTTAATGTTAACTTAATGTTGCAACAAAGTAAGCAGAGGTAAACAGCAAAATTAATATACCGAATACTATGTATACGGCAGAAGATTTTGCACAGCTCTTATTTTTCTAACTTTAATTTGAGATTATGGAACTCCCATATTTTTGAAGCTGTGCATTTTATTACTCATATTATTCGTACTTTCGTCTGTTTTAAAATGTCTGCTGAAAATGACTATTGATATGGTATAACATATTTATTATAAATACAAATTATAAACGAGTAGTTTTAAAATTTATTAAACTGCTTATAAATATAACTTTTTTTTGTATTTTTCGATAATTTTCATAGGTTTTTAAAAAGTCTTTACGGGATTCTATTGCTTGAAATAAATAAAATATTCAGATAAATTTAGCAGATAAATAAAATATTAATTTATAAGTATTTGCATCCATACTTATGAATACTTTTGCTAGTTGTAATATTATATTATATTTAAATTATTATTTTTATTTAAAAACTACATTAATAAAAACGGTCGGTTAAAATTTGAATATACATAAGTTTTTTTAAATATCGAAATTTTGAACTGATTGACTTTGTATGTCTTACCTTGACACGGACAGCAATCGTTTGGATCTATTGGTTGTGTACACTGTAGGGAGGGACATGTTTTTAATCGACAGAGAACTTGGCCTGCCTGTTTAATAAGAGCAGGAATTATAATAATAATAATAATAATAATAATAATAATAATAAAGCTTTATTAGAAAAATTAATGTAGAAAAAATTAATACACATAATAAAATCAATGTTTTTGTAATTATTTATTAGATATATATTAACAATTGTTAAAAGTAAGAAGATAAACATCTGTTTAAACAGTTAAAAAGAGATCCTTGGATTCTCGAGCCTTACCTGACAAACGCATTGAACACATTGATTTGGTGAATGAGTTTGCAATCCCGTTGAATTAGAAGTGAACGTTTGGCTGTCTTGATATACTCTGCCATTGTGAAGACAAGATACCTGAGGACTCGCAACGGGTGGAAGTTCCACCGAAACTGAAGTGTCAATTGTAATAAAATAAATTACGATACAATTTTAAAATCGAATTTAAACAGAAAATATTTAAAGTACATTTTACAAATAAAATTATTTTAAAATTTATATAGGTAAAATATAATTATATCTTTTTTTAAATTGCATTGTTTTAAAATACAATCGACATAAATACGTTATCTTTTTTTTGCATTTTAATAACGAAATGTATTATTGTAAATTACAAAATTTAGTTACTTTAATAATGTTTCTAATTAAAATTTTTATGTCGATAAGGAAAACGAATAAACATGTTTTTACTTATATTTTACTAATTTTCTGTCTTGCTTACCTTGACAGAACCGACAACATTCTTCGTTTTCAACATCTCGATTTTTGCAGTCTAAATTATCACAGGAAACACTACTACAATTCACTGCTCCTTCCTAAACAAATGATTCAACCAATTCGTATCATTTTATAAAATTTTTTATCATCGTGCATACTTATCCGAAAATATTGTTTTTTAATTGATACTGTTTAAGCATTTATATAATTTATTTTAATTCGAAAATTTTTCAAACCGTGTAATAAAGTAATTTTTTAAAAGTTTAACAATCATTTTACTCATAAAAAATGATATTTTTTCCGTATATTTATAAGAGCCGGAGAAAATATGTCAAAATAGGCCTACAAGAATTACATGTTATTTTTATTATTGTTTCTTTGGACTTTAGCCAAGTTAGCAATAAATGAGATCGTTCGGATTATTTTCCTTTTTGTCCCTGCAAATCTCTTCTTAATATCGAACTGTTACGTAAAATTCAGCATATTCCTAACAAATCTCACCTCCTTACATCTGCAACTGACACAAAAGATGGATCCCGAGTTTTCTAATCTTCTATGCCAAGTTTCTCCCGCTTCGTATGATTTTCCTGAGAAAGAACAGGTTGGACGAGGAGTACCTAATAAAACAATTCGATTATTTTTAATTAATTTACGAATAATTAGTTGTAAATAACGAGAGAGTTTTTGAAATAACGTCAAATATATCTTTTAAATTATTTTTTAAAGGTAAATTATGACTCCAAAAAAACTTTTATTTTTTACTATAAATTACAAAATTATTTGACGAAAAAATCAATTGTAAAAGTACTAAAATCACCCTTGGCAAGGAATCAAAAGCATTAACAATTTTTTACTGTAAGGTTATGCCAAAATGGAAGTAAATAGAGTCAATAGTCAGTGTTAATTTCTTTTAAATGTAAAATAAATAGCAGCACTTTTCCCGCAATATATTATATATCTATATATATATATATTTTTTTTTTCGTTTTACTTTTTAATGTTAAAAAGATGATTAACTTACTTAATGACATTAAAATGTTTACAAATTCATGAATTTGTCGATTATATTAACACACACACACACACACATACGCACAAATTTATAGGCTATATATAAATATACAAGATATATTCGATTAAGTTAAATCAACTTCATTGTAACAATTGTATCAATTTATTTACCAAAAACATTGTATCAATTTATATTGATACAAGTTATACTTTAAAACTTAAAGTAATACTCATAAAATATTATTAAACACTATCGATGATAATATTTTTCTGTCATGGTAATTTCCCACATAAAGCATTAATAAATACTTTAATAAAATACGACAACAAATCATGTTTAAAATATATTTAACGCTATTATGCTACAATTATTTATATTAATAGTTATCTCTGACACTTGAAACAACGTTCGGTTTGAGAAATTATCTTGAGCTGTCTTATTTGCATTCAGCAATCATTAATTTTCTTAATCTGTCTGAGTTACAAAGAAGTGATACAACATCTTTTCTCTTCCTGACAGACCGCCCTTTTGATTATCCCGAACAATCCCTTCTCTTTAAAAACATAAATGATGAGAAGAATCGAAAACGACAAAATTTGGATTTTTTTTTCTCTTCCATAATTAGAACGAATTTTTTAGTAATATTAATGAAATGTTATTAAAATATTATTAAATAATACGGAATTTGAACAATGCTACGCTTAAACAACGTAGTCTTCTGAATTATAAAAAAATTCTAAATAAAACAGCTTCAATGTAAAGTTGTTTTCTTATTTCAAACTTAACTTTTTTTATTTGTAAGTTCGAATCTATTGGTAAAAATAAATAATCTCCTCGAGTCTAGTAATAGTTTTTCCATCAATCTCTTCGGGTCAGCAACAAATTCATCTAATCCTTTGTAATCGCTTGTCCCTCGTGGCAAAGATCGAACTCTCTCTCTCCCTCTTTTCTATTTTTTGTTCAGTTTTAAAGTTTACTTTACGAAATTTGATAAATAATAAATAAAAACGTTTAAACTATAATCAATAAAAATTTTTGAGTTTACGATTTTTTGAATACTTCGCTTTTATAACTCTAACAGCAATCGCATTTAATTAATTAAACAAACAAGCAAAAAAGACATAAATTTTCTATTAAAATTATTACTAATTCGATCAAAATTTAGTTAATAAAATTTTTAAATAAATAAATAAATCTGTAATAAAAATCTTTTTCCCGTAAAGAATAAAATACACGTCTTTTACGACATACTTTATATTAGTTTAATAATTATTTCATAATAAAATTTACATATAAAATGCAATTTAATTATATTATTAAAATCATAATACCAATTTATTTTATAAAAGTTTATTAACTAATAACGGTATAAATATCATATGTAACTAATATAATATTGATTACTACGATTACTTAATAATTAACTTAGCTTCACTCTGGTAAATTTAAAACTTTTTCTTTAAGTTTTGTGAAATTAGCAAATATCAATGAGTAAAATTTTGAAAATATTAAAAGAATGGGAAATTTCTATTTCGGCATTGTGGACAGCAAAGAGAAGCGACTAAGCATTGTCTACCACATTACGGCCAGGTCATTTAAGACTATCCATTATACCTGAATGTGTTTTTGTAGTTAGATATCGATGGAAAGAGGGGAGAACCTGGATGAAGATGGTAGTTTCCTGTTTTTCCTTATATCAAGCTTATCAACCGTCCAATCTTTTATTTTTCTTTTAGCTCTCCAAGATATATTTTACGTTCTACCGTAATTACGTACGAATTTAATCGGTTTAACTTAAACATATATTTATTTATTTATTTATTTATTTGTAACATATTGTTAAAAAATGAATAACTTTTACTTAAATAAAATAGTTTTAAAATAATTTCAAAACTCACCTGATGCTGCAGAAGATAAAAAGACATAAGAGAACAGCACCAAATGAGTTCGATAATGTTTCATGACAAGTTATCTTAAAGACACTAAAACAGAAAAATAAAAAAAAAGTATTCGTTTTATTGATTGCAAAATCCTATATATCATTTGAATAAAAACAGTATTAAGATTAAAAACGTTTTAATTATAAATGGATTAAGAAATAAAATTTTTTTGGAAATTTGGTTTTAAATAAAAAATATAAATGAGCTGAAAAAATTACCGTTTTTCTCTTGAAGTTCGAAATATTTTGGTAAAAAACTTTAATATTTACTAATAAAAACGCAATTAGATATTTATAATTACGTTTTATAGAATTTAATTTTTCTTAAAAGACTTACACATCCGCAAAAGAAAATTTGATTTTTCGTTGACGAGATACAAGTCTTTAAAGAAAACTTCGGCTTTTGTTGTTAAAAAGTAGGTTTTTTAGTTTAATTTTAGTTGCGAGATGGCAGCACTAGTTAACCTTATCCCACCTTCATCATATGACCCCCTCGCCGGTTCCCACGTTTTGGATGCTCATTGTGCTAAGGGAGAGATGATTGTCCCAATTGGGTAACAAGAAAAAGCCACTGTTGGGAATTAACAAGTTACAGGAAGATATCCATTTGTAGAACTAAACTCAATCGAGCGATTATAATAAATAATGATGTAATAAATAATGGAAGTCGCTCAAGAAACTATTAATAAACCATCTGCATAAACCATTTACTTTTTTCTCCTCTTTTTTTTTTTGTTGTTTAATTTATCAACAACATCTGCCTTCATCTGACGTCGATCACGAATTACATCATGGATGACGTAATTAATTTAATAAATAAACTAAATAGATAAATAACCGGTTAAGTAATGACTAGTTTACTTACAAATCCACATAAAACAGCTTCCGAAACTTAACAGCGCCCGTCCATCCTCTTGTTTGGCAACACTCCCGACCGGTCACGGAACACTGAATGGTAAATAAATGAAGTGTTGAAAGGGGGGAAGAATAATTAAAGCACTTCTTTGTCCATTCATGCCACATATGACGATGGTGACCCCTGGCGAAAACTATCGTGGACTATTCCTGCACGTGTATCCATGGCAACCACCCAAAGAGTGTGGTTTATCAGAAGATATCGAAAGCCAAAGCTCTCCTTTCAGACCGACAAGGGTTGTAGAACAATTGTACCCTCGAATAATTACATAAAAACAAAACAAATCCTACTTTAAATTTCAAATCAACTCGTAAACTTAAAATGAAAAAGTACTGTTATCCCGATCATCCGGAATGTTCGACACGTCTTGTTGATTCTTGGGATAGTAAACTTCTAAAATTATTCATATTTCGCTTATATTTTATTAATTCAAACCCGATTTTAAATTATTGTTTAAAAAATACATTTTTGAATATAATAAATCCATCACTTACCGTTAAAATTCTCACTCAGTTAACTGGGATAGTATCTTTACCTTGTGGCAGACGATCGCGGAGCTGAATCTGTTATACGTCCCCCCGTTCTTCCTATAGGATAATGTGACGTCGTCGCTTGGCCGCCTTCTGATTGGTGCCCGACGTGTGGCGCTGTCGTCCGACCTTACAGAATACTTTTTCGTTTTCCCCATTGAAAGAAAGAAAGAAAAAAAAAGTTTCTTGTACGAACTAATTTCTTTCCATACGAAAAAGTGCATTTTATTAAATATTATAGAAATTAAATAATTATTATAATTAGTTATTCGACTTCTCTATTACTCATGACATCTTAGCGAAAGTTTCGTATGTGCAATTGCGCTTAATTGTGAGAAAGTTTTATCGAAATATTTATTTTTAATAGATTTTTTTTCTGTATAAATTAATTAATTTAAAAAAAATTGCGTGATTTAATAATTTTAACATAATAAAAATTTTAGTAAAATTGAAATATTCTATACGTTTCGTGTAATATTACTAAAAATAACTTCAAATTATTTCATTGCATTTCGTTTATTCTTTCGTTTACTAGCCATGAATTGTTTTAATTGAAATAAAATAATATTAAATTTATAATTTAGAAGGAAAAAAAGAAATACAGAACTAAGAATATACTTTTCAAAAAACATTTTAGAGACAATTAGAAGATTAGTAAGAAAGAGTAAAAAAATAAATAAAATAAAAACTTTCGTAAATTTTATTACGACGAAATAAAAATCAACAATAAACTCTTTTCGACTCTACCAAAATAAATAAATTTCTAGAAGAAAATATAAGAAAAATCTGCATTACTTTATTGTTTGTTTTGAATTATTTCCAGACAGACTTGCCAGATGATTCCATTACCGGAATATAGGGCAGATATTTTTCAGCTTTTTAAGTTAGAATTCTTATAAAACTTTATAGACTCTCTGTATATTGTATACTGACCAAATCTCTTCAATAAGTTCGCTTTTGATAGAATTTCATTGTTTGTGACTATGAAAAATCTTCAGAAAGGAAGTATTTATATATCCAGTAATATATCGTGCAGTTTCGCGATTGGTTAAGGGAGTCCATTTGATTATAATAAGTTAAAAATATGAATTTCAATATTAAATGTTTTTATAAAATAGTATTGTTATTTTTAAATATTTTCATGAATTAAAAATTATTACTTTTTTACTCGTTCTAATATTAATTTTTTTTTTTATTTTAACAGATATTGTTTGGATTCATTTCATTGTTATTATTATTATTTTCAATTTTGGAATGCATTGACTTGTTTAGGATATTCAGTTATGTTTTCGTTTTTATTTTGTGAAATAAATCAAGAATGACGACTGAATAGAAGGGCCAAAAAAAGGGGGAAAAGACATAAAAGAAAGAAAGGTAAAAATTTTTTCCACATGCAAAATCGGATTTTTGTTCATTTTCTTGTTTTTCTTTTATCTTTCGTCGTGTTTATTTTCCCCCGTGAAGGAGTCTTCCCGCATCGCTCGTTACTCGCCCAATTCCTTTTACAGAAGAAGATACAATTGCAAACCTGTCTCTACTTTTCTCAGAATTTTTATTCTTTAATCTTCTACATAACTAAACTAGGTATGTAATCTGGGTTTGTTAATAATAATAATAATAACAGTAATAATGTTTATTTCTACGAATTCCAAAGACGAGTTCAAAGTCGATCCTACTTGAATTATCCCGAAATATTTATGCTTATATTAAGAGAGAATTCGGTCGAGGGCATCTTTTAGTTTAAAAAAAAGAGTAAGAAGTAAACTAGCTTTTCAAAAATATTTAATAACGGTAAAGCTAAGTATACGAATTTTATTACAGCATTTTAATTTAAAATAATAACTGTCATTAAAAATATTGTTTGAAACATTGTATATATATATACAATGTTTTAAACAATATTTGCTCTCTCTCTCTCTATATATATATATATATATATAATATATATATATATATAAAGTAAATAACGCGAGCATAATGTATAATTCAAATATGTTAAATGAAGAAAGAATATGAAAATATTTGCTTTTGAATATTTAATTTTTTTTCGCTATAAAATTTATTGTATAAATGATAAAAATATCATGTTGTACGCGATAAACTTTAGTCATTACATTTTATAATTTACAAAAATTTGATGGTATCGATGTGAAATTGTTAACTAATTAAAAATCGATGGCTGTTGCTCAATAATGTCAAAGCGTGTAACGCTCTCTAACTGATTTAAAGGCATGAAAATATTTGCTTTTGAATATTTAATTTTTTTTCGCTATAAAATTTATTGTATAAATGATAAAAATATCATGTTGTACGCGATAAACTTTAGTCATTACATTTTATAATTTACAAAAATTTGATGGTATCGATGTGAAATTGTTAACTAATTAAAAATCGATGGCTGTTGCTCAATAATGTCAAAGCGTGTAACGCTCTCTAACTGATTTAAAGGCATGAAAGTCGAGCAAAAAAGGCAACAAGATAGAAGTTAAAAGGGATAATGACCTCGTGGCCTGATGAAATTCAATTATTGGTAGTTTGAGAATGTTCCGTGAGACGGGAGGTGAGTGACACGCTTCGGCGTCAACTCGCCTAACCCAAAGCAAATTTTTACAGTCACTTTTGGTGACGTCACAGAATAGAATAACAGTTGTCTGCTCTATCCAATAAAGAGTATTGGCCCAGAAAAAAAATTTTTATAACCTTCAAAGTTTCAGTCCTACAGTCCTAATTAATTGTCGACTAGAAAATGAAAACTTCCGCGAAAACAAGATTTAGTTCTAGATTAACAAGATATTCCAGTTCTGACTTGACTAGACTGGATTATTTGCTTTATCTACAAACTGGAATTATCTATCACGTGATTACGATTTTATTGATATTTATTAAAATGATAATTTATGTGCACTACTATTAAGATTAAACTAAATATTTTAAAATAGCTAAATTGTCCTTAAAGCAAAATACTTTAAAGTACTTTACCTTAGAATGTTCTGTGTAGAGATGTAAAAGTTAGTAAACTCTCAACGATTTATTTGCTCGTTTATATCGAAATTTATTTTAATATTAATTTAAATTAATTATATTTTTAAAATATTTAACATTTTATATATTAAATATCAATAAAATAATCGTTAAATTTCTTAATCAAACCGCGAGAAGCATCTTTTCTACAATGTCTGTGAAGTCTGCAGTGAAGACGTCTGTACAGGTTCGAATTTGACTTTACAATTTCGAATTAATAAATTATACGTTTTAAAAGAATTTTACAAGTTTCGAAAACGCCATTTAATATAAAATGTATCCTTTAAAAGCGATCTTACTTAAAATACAACATTATAAAACAGTTTAAATTTTACAAAACTTAATTATAAAATAATTATATACAGTATTTACTAATGTTAATCTTCTTTTTTTAAAAAAAAATTAAAGGACTAATGGGTTTAATTTTCTTCATAAAAGATATAATTAAAAGTAAAGAATGCGATAAAGAGTTTATGGTATGAAATTATTCGAAATACCATTAGGATTAATATGACCGAAAGTTAATTTAATTTTTAGTTAACAATAGTTAATTCGTTCGAAAATTCGTTTAAAAACAGGAGAGAGGGGGAAGATTTTTAAAGAAAATTGAACAGTTAAAAAAGAAATAAAAGTTTTCGAAATTATCGTTTTAAGCTTCATTCTTTTTGCTAAATAAACATTTAAAAAAAAGAATTTTACCGGGTAATTTAGCATGTAAATAATTATATTGGCCGATAAAACTATGCAGAAAATTTTAATGAATTAAACAGTAAATGTTGTTATGATTATTTTATCTTTCTCTATCAAATTTATTAAAGTGAACTTTTTTTTGGTACGATGGAGTTTATTAATAGAATTTGCACCTGTGCTTTTCTGAAATTAATTATATTTTCCGCGTAAGGAAAAAAAATGAATTAAAATGTAAATATTATTTATGAGGAAGATAAAAGGGAGATAATTTTTGAAGAAAATGACCTTAATCGTGTAATGAAAAAGTAGCGTTAAGTATGCATTTAAAGAAAACGTGAATTATATTTATTAATGTATTTGAATATCAAGATGTATTTTGATTTAATTATCCATTTTAGTTTTAATCTATTCCTTGTTGCTACATTCATTTGTTTTACAAAAGCTAGTTTTTAGATTTCTTTATGTCGAAAATTCATTATTTTAAAAAACTACGTTCTTAATTTTTATTTTTATAATAATTATAACCTATTAATCTTAATTATTATTTGTAATAATAATTAGATATAATAATATTATTATGATTGAGTAATTTATCTTTTATAAAAAAGCAAATCAAAGAACACTAGTCGTTATTCATCTATTTATAAGCAGGATTTAAAATCATAGAAAGAAAATAGATTATTCTATTAAATAAAAACCTTCGAGATAAATTTAAACTTATTCGTATTTAAAATTTATTTTTACTTTCGAAATTTTTAATGAATTATTATCGTTTGCACAATTAGACAGATTTGTTAAGCGGTTAACAACCCAAAACAGCTCGATGAAAAAAATAAAAAATTTGAATTTGAAAACTCTTGATAAGAGGAAAGGAGAATAATATTAATAGTTGACGAAATGATATTCCCAAACCACGAATTGAATTTCGTAATGTGTAAGAAGGAGCAAAAACATTTCTTGCAAAATGTTAGTGTCCCCATTTGGCGTACGTGTCACGAATGTTTTAAGAGAAGCTCACGAAACCACTTCACACTTTAACAGAAGTAGAAAGAAAAAAACGCATTGTTCTCTTCGAGAGAGAGAAAAAGACTAATGCACGCACTTTAATTGATTTTTCTTCAAATTACTCCAGAAATGGCAATATAAAACATCTTTATAATTTCCTAAGAATGAAATGAATCGAATATTTTAATTTCCTCAGTTGTTTTATTATTTTTTTATTTTTGTGAAAGAGAAAGTAATCGAGAACGCGATTAAATCGTATCTTTTCTTCATTACTTAATCAGATTTTCTTGTAATCGTACGAAAATATTTTTTTCCTTCGGTTTTAGTCACGTCTCGATTT